ACCTGTAAAACTCAACTTCTCCTTGAGAGACCAACTCACTTGTTTCTTTTAGAGGCTCGCAAGCGTGTGAAAACCCATCCTCACCTTGAAGTTTCCTCACATAATCATCATTGATCTTCCTTATTACTTTTCTTAATTGAACCACAAAATCATGCAGCTCTATATTTCTTTCATCTTTCATTATGGATGCAAGAGCAAACCGCCAGATATTACCAAAAGAATGCTCTGGCAAAGGTGGAGCCATTCTTTCCCTTAAATTCACCTCATGGGATATCGCCATTGATGGCCTACCCTTACCAGATGTACCATTTTTTGTATTCATGCTAAACTTACATATGAGGGCTGTCACAGCTTCCACACGAGTAGGAGCATGGTCGTCCATGCCCAAACCCTTGGATGCTTTGACTTTCATCCTGGCTAAACTGGAAGCATCAAACACAAATCTCTTTGTCACAATCTTTTCTCTCTTAATCAAATTGGATGGCATGAAAATTTGCTTGTCCCTAGGTGGAAAGATGGTGGCTGAATTTAGGGAGGGAATGATGTTTTCAACAACACCACGTGATCTTGTAGCCCATGCAACAAGGAAAGAAGACAGTGTTGCACTGTCTGCAATCTTGTGTGAAATGCAGATTCCGACACCCATACCACCACAGTCAAAGAAATTTAACTGGACAGCCATGGCTGCAACCGCCTTGTCTGTTCTAATATTGTAGGGATCAAGTGGAAGAAGTTGTTGCACTAAATTCATATCTGGACTTTTTAGTATCTCAGAGAGCTGAATGTTTAGCTCTAGCTTTTGTGAAGACAACATCCCCATCTTCACAATCCACATATGTATTGCCCTCAATCCTTCCAGCGGTAGAAATAGGTCAGGGTTTCTGATAAAGATTTCTTCAGCTTATGAAAAATTGTCATATCGTCATCAATGTCTTCAGGAGCTGAATAGAAAAGAACGACGGGCACATAAAATATAGGAGATATCTGATCTAGCAGAGAGAGTCTGTAGCTCTTAAGGTGGTGTGGGGTTGGAATTGATGGTTTGCAGTAATCTTTAGAGACTATCTCAATCTTCATCTTCATTTTCACTTTCTCTGTAGGAAATGCAGGTCTAAAGAAATTAACAATCTATTACAGAGGTTGTGTATATATATATATATATATATATATATCTCTGAAGCTTTAACAAATTAGAGCTGGACTAACTAATTGCAGCAAGATTAACTGATTACAGCCAAGCTTAACAAATAGACCTATCTGTTGCACCAGTTCAACCATATTTAACTTTGAGTTTGAGATATGTGGAAACTTGTCTAAGCTATCTAGAAGCTTTAGCTGGTCATCCACACATGGCGTAGGTTAACCATACGCATATGTAAATCATGTATGTTATACCACTACGTACGCCTACTGCTTGTGTTTAATTTCTATTTTTAATGCTTAATAAGACTTTAGTTATACCACTACGTACGCCTACTGCTTGTGTTTATTTTTTATTTTTTAAAATCAATGCTACCACCAAAGGTTGTATTATTTTAGTCCTAGTTTCCAGCTAATCAAATCAAACACACCCTCATTTCCCCTTGTCTCTTTGCAACACCCAGCGACTCCCTAAAGTAACCCCAAAGATTCCTTGTTTGGCCTTTATAGTTTTGGCCTCCCCCCCTGATATAGAATATATTTTTCTTTCGTCCTTAATTTTAGTTAATTAGGATCATCCTTTCACTTTCAAGTGTTCAACTTTATACTGTACAGAAATTTGAATAAATGACAATAATTCATGTGGTCCAGCCACATTATTGCCAGTGAATTTCAAGGTCACTTTATTAGTTTGCATCCTCATCATCTAAGATTTGTGATTTTAAATCTTTGCAATTTTATGACGACCATGGAAGTTGAAATTATATCCAGAGAAACCATCAAACCTTTCACTTCAACTTCACCACACAATAGAACATACAACCTTTCTTTCCTCGAACAGGTTAATCCTCGAACTTATGTTCCAGTTGTTTACTTCTATCCCAAGGAGGCCTCTGAGACACCTGATTTCTTGACTGGTGGTGATAAATCCAACCAGCTCAAGAAATCTCTATCAGAAACGCTAGCGAAATACTACCCTTTTGCCGGTAGGATCAGAGATAGAGTCTCCATTGACTGCAATGATGATGGAGTCACATTTGTAGAAGCAAGAATAAAAAACATCGAGCTATCTGAGATTCTTGAGCACCCTAAAGATGAGGTGCTGGACCTGTTATTTACAGACAATCTGCAGTGGAATGACGATTCGAATATCAACGTCCTCTTGGCTGTACAAGTAAGCTTCTTTGACTGTGGTGGGATGGCAGTTGGCATCTGCATGTCGCATAAGATTGCTGATACCTCCACCATGATCAACTTCATTAACGACTGGGCAGCGGTGGCCCGTAATAACAAAAAATGTGATCAATATGTACCATCTCCTGAGTTCATCTCAGCAACTGTCTTTCCCCGATGTGATCTGCCACTGTCGCCAGAAGCCATGATTGAGAAAAGCAATTGTGTGACCAAAAGATTTGTCTTTGATGCAACAAAGATCGCTGCCCTCAAAGCCATAGTCACGGAAAAATTGCAAAACCCCACAAGAGTTGAGGCTGTGACTGCTTTTATACATAGCCGTGCCATTTCTGCATTGAGATCAACTTCCGGGTCGTCCTCAAACCCAACCACTTTCATCCAGACAGTGAACCTCCGCGCTAGAATGGTCCCGCCATTGCCACAAAGCTCTGCAGGCAGCATGATTTGGTTCTTTACCGTGTCCACAGCTGAGGACAGTGTGGTTGAGTTGCATGATCTCGTGGGTCAAATGAAGCAGAGAAAGACCAAGTTTTGTGACACGTATGTCAGAAAGTTTCGTGCAAAAGATCAATGGCCTTCCATCTTTAAAGAGTGTATCCAAGAATCAAGGAAACCATTTTCTAAAGGGAATTTGGTCATATATAGATGCAGCAGCTGGTGCAGATTCCCAGTGTATGAAGCTGACTTTGGTTGGGGAAAGCCAATTTGGGTCACTATTGCTAGCTGTGCCATGAAGAATGCTGTTTTCATGATTGATACAAGGGATGGCGAAGGGATTGAAGCTTATGTGAACTTGGAAAAGCAGGAATTGGATGTGTTTGAGCGTGATGCAGAGCTTCTTGCTTTCGCTTCTTTGAATCCGAGTGTCATTTGAACTCCATCCGAGCTTCAAATCTTTGTGTGCGTGCACCGTGTGTTTGTTTTTATAAATGTTCTTGAATGTATTTTTCCACTCTAATGATGTCGAAAAATAAATATGAGGCTTTGAAACAAGATACCCTAATATAAAAAAGCAAGCTATTTGAAAACATTTCAAGTATAGTTGTATTTTCATGTAAAATCAGAGGAATATATTTAACCCCCTCCCCTTTCTTTTTCTTTTTCATAACATTAGCCCAAATTTGAAGCCTCTCATATTTTGCAGTGCACATTTGGGTTCATGTGAAACTTTTGTGTATTTTACTCACATGAACAATTGATGGTTATATTTCTTAACCTCTATAACCAAAGCCGGAAATTTATTTCGGGCCTGAGTTTTAAAAAAATATGAACTTTATTGATGAATTAGATGGATCATGCACCAACAAATTGGCAACTTTGTCGTACATAATTTTTCACGACACTTTCATGAAACAAACTTGTGTCCTACATTCTCCAATCAAACAGATCCAGAGCCGAGTCGCATAATCCGTTTTTCAGTCTCGAATCTGTGGGTCTGAGAAGAATTTGTTGATGGTAGGCATGATCTGGGGGGTTTTGTTGCGAACGTATTTCCTCAGTCGATGTTCTGCATATCTCTCTCCCTCTGCATGGTTATCAAGCACCCCAGCAGCTCTCTTCTCCTTGTTAACCCTGAAAAACCATATTCAAATTTAGGCTAAATGCAGATAAGCATGCGCTTTTATTCTTAACCCTTTTTTTTTTTTTGTAGATGCCTGTGATTTTAATACTCTTAGGTCTCGTTTGGTAGGTAGGATAAGTAGTAAGATTGGATTAACTTAACCCAATACTCTGTGTGGTGGTCACAAGTGAACGTGGATAGGATAAAGGACAATCCCACCATAATACTATTATGTGCATTTTTGTAGGATAATTTATCCTTATCAAGAATGTGGAATACATAATCTCACTACTCTAACTTCTTGACCTTGGACCCAAGACCGGGAGCCGTGACACAAACCGATAACACTAGTGTTAATAAATGATATTAATTATACTTTCCAATCAATCCAATCTTACTTTCTAATCCAATCCAATCCAATCTTAGTTACCATTTCCAAACATGGCCTAAAGATTTATTTACTCATGGAATTGCAGTGAAATTTGATTTTTCATATACCTGACTTCAGGGTTGGTGTAGATGTTTCTAACAAGCTGCATGCCACAGATTCCAACAGCTACACCAACTGCAACAAATAGTGGATACACCTACACATCCAGGCAAAAATAGCCTTTATGTGATTAGCCCATAATTCGAGGGTTAATTAAACCTTGCACTACAAGTCATATAAAAGGCAGCGCAACAAGCACACCCTACATTCATAGACAATCATCACACAAACCCTTTTGTTCCCTTCTTCTTTTGAGGCCAAAACAACATGAAAACATGTCATTCATGAATCATGATCATGACCCTTTGTCTCTTACTTTCTCTCAGTTTCTCACCAACCAAACAGAAAGAAAAACTTTTGATAAAAACAACTACAGAAAAATATAATTTAAATAAAATTAAAATTATAAATAAAATTTAAAAAAATTTTAAAAAAAAGAAAGTGGGGTGGGGGCAGGGAGAAAGAAGGAAAGTTAAAGTACCTCTGGCTTTAACCATCTGGAGGAAGCCATGCTGAATCTGTGGAATAAAACAAAGAGAAGAAAATAGAAGATGAATCTTCTTCTTCTTCTTCTCTAGGAGGAGGACTGAGAGAGAGAGAAAGAGAGAGACAGGGCAGAACAGGGCAAGTTTTTTCACAATTATGAGCTCTGTATTTATTGCAGGCACTAATTACCCGAATTTAGACTTCAACAAAAATGGAAGGTTGAGCGTGTACGGAAAATGAAGAAAAACAAGGCCTATCATCCAATGTTTGAGACCATTTTGGGCATAAAATTTCTTTTTTTTGTTGGAAGAGATCATTTTGTGCATAATTACTTTTTTTTTTCTGTGGCCTTTCTAATTTCAGTGAAATGTGTAACACTAATGTGATTATTTTTGCTTGCTGACCAAAAACATTGGTTTCAGACGGATCTGATTATTAGGGTAATAACGGGTCCGTTTGGATGAGGGAAAATATCTTAGAATTTAATTAAAAATTGTTAATTTAAGAGGAGAAACTGACAATTCTCTTGTTTAACAACTTAAGCACGGAATTTATTAAAGGGAGTTTCACTAAAACACCCAAAATGGAGGTTGAAATTATAAAAAAACCCAACACCCAAAACACTTTATAAACACACCCAAAACTCATCATTACACACACTCAAAACTCATTTATAAACACACCCAAAAAGTTGACTTTAGAGTTGATTTTGGGTGTGTTTCTATGTTTAAATAGTACTTGGGTTTTTTTATAAATACATGTCTAAGATTGGGTTTATTTATAAATTTGTATTTATTAAATGACACGCGGAAAAAATTGTGAAAATTTGGCAGTCAAATTCCTAAGTTTAATTTCCACCAAAATATGCGTCATTTTGAATTTTCTGTCATTTACAAAATTCGACATAAATAAATCCAAATACTAAAATTTTCAATTGTCATAAATTGAAATAATGAAAATCTAAATTTCATCATTTTAGAATTCTATGTAATTTTCAATTCTTTCATCCAAACGGAGGGTTATTATGAAGGATAACAAAGTTTGTATATCAGGAAAAAAAAAAAAAAAAAAAAGAGGATTGTTACGTATATCAGGAAAAAAAGAAGATAAGAATAGATTTCGAATGGTGCTGAACCCAAGGGCTTCAAATGGAACGGCCCAATTCCCACATAGGCAAAACAAAAACCCTCTAGCCCAGCTCAAACAAATCTAATCTGCCAATGATGAAGATTTGAATACCGCAAGTATTGCATACGTAGGTTAAGTCAATTTGCCAATACAATGTGTTTGGTGTCCGTCCTCTTGTACTCGAGTTGAATCCATTTTCTCCTACATTAATTTTGAATATTGTTTCGTTTTTAAAAATAAAAATCGCAAATACTCGCTAAACCCAACCCAAATGAATAACTCTCTCATGTTTTGCGTCTCTTTTTTCTTAATTGGTCTTTTTCTTTTTCTGGTAAATATTTCTAGAGTTATTAATGCTTAGTTATAATTAACCATTTTTTATTGCTAATTTATTGAAGACGAAGAGCAAGAATTGAAATATTATAATTAAGAAACGTCGATCTAAATTAAGTAAATCATGAGAATCTCTCTATCAATTTCTTTTCCATCACTCTATCCATGTAAGTTATGATGAGTTGGGCAATCGGAGGAACCTAATGAGCTCATTGGTCAAACATAGACAAAACAAGACAAATTTATAATCGGATTGGAGGAGCACGAGTGCGAACAAACTTGAAACAACGTCAGTCTAACATGTCCAGCTTACTCTTCCGTATTGTTTTTCTCGCTTTAGTTCAATCTTTGTTCGGTCGGCTGCAAATGTTTCTTTATTTTTAAAGAATTATGGCAGTTTCTATCCACTCTTCTTTATTTTATTTTTTTATTTTATATAGTTGTAGAAAATAGAAAGAGAAGCCACCAGATCTGAACTAGTTTTTAATCAGAGCCACTGACAAGATTGGATCACTGTGCTGTCTGTACTCAACGTGGTTTCCGCTGTCATCGTGCACGCTTGATTTTTAATTTTGTAACATATATATATATAAATTTTCTGAGACAGACATCCGAAAGTTATTATCGTAAAGACGTCATATATTTTGTACTAACCTTTCTTGCTTTTCTGTCTATTTACAATAGTATTCGCACGATAATAACGTACGGACATTCAGATAAGAGAATAACTATATATATATATATATATTTTTTTTTTGGAAAAAATATTTATGTTTTTTGGAGCATAATTTAGGGGGCGTTTGGTATCCTATTTAAATAGGGAACTCAAAAACTTTGTTTTTTCTTAAAAACAAGGAGTTCTCAAATCTATTTTATGATTCAAAATTTTTAAACATTGGTTTCAGACGGATCTGATTATTAGGGTAATAACGGGTCCGTTTGGATGAGGGAAAATATCTTAGAATTTAATTAAAAATTGTTAATTTAAGAGGAGAAACTGACAATTCTCTTGTTTAACAACTTAAGCACGGAATTTATTAAAGGGAGTTTCACTAAAACACCCAAAATGGAGGTTGAAATTATAAAAAAACCCAACACCCAAAACACTTTATAAACACACCCAAAACTCATCATTACACACACTCAAAACTCATTTATAAACACACCCAAAAAGTTGACTTTAGAGTTGATTTTGGGTGTGTTTCTATGTTTAAATAGTACTTGGGTTTTTTTATAAATACATGTCTAAGATTGGGTTTATTTATAAATTTGTATTTATTAAATGACACGCGGAAAAAATTGTGAAAATTTGGCAGTCAAATTCCTAAGTTTAATTTCCACCAAAATATGCGTCATTTTGAATTTTCTGTCATTTACAAAATTCGACATAAATAAATCCAAATACTAAAATTTTCAATTGTCATAAATTGAAATAATGAAAATCTAAATTTCATCATTTTAGAATTCTATGTAATTTTCAATTCTTTCATCCAAACGGAGGGTTATTATGAAGGATAACAAAGTTTGTATATCAGGAAAAAAAAAAAAAAAAAAAGAGGATTGTTACGTATATCAGGAAAAAAAGAAGATAAGAATAGATTTCGAATGGTGCTGAACCCAAGGGCTTCAAATGGAACGGCCCAATTCCCACATAGGCAAAACAAAAACCCTCTAGCCCAGCTCAAACAAATCTAATCTGCCAATGATGAAGATTTGAATACCGCAAGTATTGCATACGTAGGTTAAGTCAATTTGCCAATACAATGTGTTTGGTGTCCGTCCTCTTGTACTCGAGTTGAATCCATTTTCTCCTACATTAATTTTGAATATTGTTTCGTTTTTAAAAATAAAAATCGCAAATACTCGCTAAACCCAACCCAAATGAATAACTCTCTCATGTTTTGCGTCTCTTTTTTCTTAATTGGTCTTTTTCTTTTTCTGGTAAATATTTCTAGAGTTATTAATGCTTAGTTATAATTAACCATTTTTTATTGCTAATTTATTGAAGACGAAGAGCAAGAATTGAAATATTATAATTAAGAAACGTCGATCTAAATTAAGTAAATCATGAGAATCTCTCTATCAATTTCTTTTCCATCACTCTATCCATGTAAGTTATGATGAGTTGGGCAATCGGAGGAACCTAATGAGCTCATTGGTCAAACATAGACAAAACAAGACAAATTTATAATCGGATTGGAGGAGCACGAGTGCGAACAAACTTGAAACAACGTCAGTCTAACATGTCCAGCTTACTCTTCCGTATTGTTTTTCTCGCTTTAGTTCAATCTTTGTTCGGTCGGCTGCAAATGTTTCTTTATTTTTAAAGAATTATGGCAGTTTCTATCCACTCTTCTTTATTTTATTTTTTTATTTTATATAGTTGTAGAAAATAGAAAGAGAAGCCACCAGATCTGAACTAGTTTTTAATCAGAGCCACTGACAAGATTGGATCACTGTGCTGTCTGTACTCAACGTGGTTTCCGCTGTCATCGTGCACGCTTGATTTTTAATTTTGTAACATATATATATATAAATTTTCTGAGACAGACATCCGAAAGTTATTATCGTAAAGACGTCATATATTTTGTACTAACCTTTCTTGCTTTTCTGTCTATTTACAATAGTATTCGCACGATAATAACGTACGGACATCCGAATAAGAGAATAACTATATATATATATATATATTTTTTTTTTGGAAAAAATATTTATGTTTTTTGGAGCATAATTTAGGGGGCGTTTGGTATCCTATTTAAATAGGGAACTCAAAAACTTTGTTTTTTCTTAAAAACAAGGAGTTCTCAAATCTATTTTATGATTCAAAATTTTTTTTGGTATGCAACTTGAAAACTGTTTTCAAATCTTAAAAATTTGAGAACTTGTGGGTTATTAGAAAAAAAACTGAAAAAACAGATATTTTTTGTTTTTAATAATTGGAGTGTTTTTTAATTATTTTTGAGTTTGAGTTTTTAAAAATAGAGCTACCAAATAAGTTTTTTTTTTGTTTTAGACTCAAATTCTATTTTTAAATTTAAAAAGTTGAATTCAAGTTGTATACGAAACAATCCCTTAATTTCTTTGTTGTTCTTCAGCCTCTCCTTTCATTTTATGCATATATAGATATATACTAAAAAGTTGTGGCTGTTGTTGACTTTCCTGAAATTATTTGAAAAAAGCGGACCATCAATAATATTTCATGCTTCTTGGCGTTGCCTGGTCTGGTGGTTGGTGACTTCATGTTTTCATGCACGCCTGTCCATCATATATTAATTTGGCTATTTTATTTGGTTGAATTCCATAATTTTATTATTATTATTTCATGAATAATTGACAGCACGATTGTAGCATTGCCCATGCATGATGGGATAATGTCAAACTTTTTCCCACTTCATTTGTACGGACCCCAAAGAAAACGGGTGCAAGGTGAAATTGATCTTCAAATTTGGGTTGTTTGAGTTGATGTTGGGAATGAAGAGTTGATAGAAACTTTTAACAATTATTTTTGGTGCTATTGGGTGAGTGAGACACATTTCTTGTTTGTGGTCAATAACAATTTGGCCACTATATTATAAAAGTTGACAAAAAACAACCACAAAGCTACAAGTCTTTACAATTTTTTTTTTTTTGCGGCAAATATTTTAAAAATTGACACCA